ATTTCCAAAACTTTACAATGCGTCTAATTATTGTATATAATAATAAGAACAAAACGGCATACAATATTAGCCAATAGTGTTGACTGAAATTTAATTATTATTCATTATATATAATATTGATTATTGTTATAAATAAAATTTACTTCTCTTTTATACACATGCTTTTGTTTTATTGAACATATTTCCAAAACTTTACAATGCGTCTAATTATTGTATATAATAATAAGAACAAAACGGCATACAATATTAGCCAATAGTGTTGACTGAAATTTAATTATTATTCATTATATATAATATTTATTATTGTTATAAATAAAATTTACTTCTCTTTATACATCTGCTTTTGTTTTATTGAACATATTTCCAAAACTTTACAATGCGTCTAATTATTGTATATAAGAACAAAACGGCATACAATATTAGCCAATAGCGTTGGCTGAAATTTAGAATTTTTTTTTATCTTTTACTACTCGAATCTCTATGTCCAACATATAAAAGTTTTCAAGGAATATTCAAATCCTTTTGTTTTTTTAATATAATATTCTATGAGATCTGCTTTATACATACACAAAAACAATAAGGTTTGTATGACAAAAATATTGTACTTTATTATTTGTTAATATTAAACATTATCAATTGGCGATTTTTTTCCATTTTTGCCCCGCCGATCCTACTTAAATTTCTGGTTCATTCACGAATCGTCAAATAAAAGAATAAATTTCAATTGTTAAAAAAATCAACTAAGCTTTTTTTTTCTTAATTAAAAGAAAAAAAGATCCTTCGCAAAGAAGAACCCTCGTGTGAATCAAAAGCCATTTGCGAATTTCGATTATTAAAATCTTTTGTCCTGATTTTTTCCTCGTTTTTTTTTCATCGATCGCTATAGAAGAACAAGCTTCATGCAAATATCAAAAGTCATTTACAAATTTCGATTGTTTTAAAAAAAAATCAAGCAAACTTTTTTTTTTCTCAATCAATCGACGTATTTTATTTGTTTTTCCTGAAAGGAAATTCCATTATTTAATTAATTGGAAATTACTATTCATTAATTATTATTAACATTAGATTCTAGTAATTAAAAGAAAGAATCAACAAGTGGCTAACTTAATCTCTACTATAAATTTATTAATTATAGTTATCTCTTTTTATTCTATTTTTATTTCTAAATTATAATAAAATTTTTAAAGTAATAAGCTTTTGATTCTTGTTAATTGGTGATATTGCAAGGTAGCCTTTGATTATGGCTTAACTTTTGGGCTACTCTTGTCAGTTAATTACAAGAAACACACAATAACTCGGTGCTCGTCAATTAATTAGTTTACGAATTTACATTAGTTCTCGCTTATTTCTTCTTTCTTATATGCGAATCTGTAAGCACGCTTAATGGTACCAAATAACTGTAAATAAATAAAGGCAGCTCTTTACATAACTCAAAAGTTTCTTTTATTCGCTTGTGACCAATTTATTTCGGTGGCTTTTTACCAAGGAATTACACTTGTAAATTGCTTTAAATAAAGAAAATAAAAACAACCATTTTGTTTATTAGAGTTTTATTTTATTAGAGCATTTATTTTCCTCTGTGAGAACTCAAAGTTGTTATAAACTGTTGAATTTATACAATGTCTATTGCCTCAACATCATAAAAAACATTCATAGGCAGGTCAATAGAATGAGTGTATTGATATTTTTTTTGATTATTATTAATTGAGCATGATATTATTAATAAAATAAAAATGTATTTTAGTGCCCGAGTTTGAAATACACGTATGCATGTCAATATTGATGTGTGGAGTTGTGTCTATGGGTGTATTCGGTTTTTTGGACCTTTTCTCAAACCCCTATCTTATATATCTTATCGTGTAGAATAATGACAATTAACTCTAAAAAAATATATTTACTCTGTTAAAAAACTATTTTAAACTATTTTACTATTCAGCCCATCAAACCAATGACCCATCTCAAACCGGATGGCTTTTTTCTGGTATAAGGTATCCGATAGTAAATAAACACTCAGTTAATATATTAATATAAAACATAACTAACGTAAAATAAACATAATTTTATTAAGTCAAAGCTTTTACCACCTTCTGTGCACCATTTGTTACAAAAAGCGATACAAAACATTTAGAGGTCTTATCGTCATGAAAATTCAGCTCATGCATCTTCCTGCCAATATAATTTCTCTGCCTATGCAACATATTGAACAGTTTAAAAATTTCTAGTGATGAAATACATAAATGAATTCTTGTAGAAAATAATTAAATCAATGTATTTTCAGGTTGAAAAACTTGTCAGGCGATATTAGTAGTGCAATATAGGTTATATTAGTACTAACGAGAAATTTAAGTAGGATCGGCGGGGCAAAAATGGAAAAAAATCGCCAATTGATAATGTTTAATATTAACAAATAATAAAGTACAATATTTTTGTCATACAAACCTTATTGTTTTTGTGTATGTATAAAGCAGATCTCATAGAATATTATATTAAAAAAACAAAAGGATTTGAATATTCCTTGAAAACTTTTATATGTTGGACATAGAGATTCGAGTAGTAAAAGATAAAAAAAAATTCTAAATTTCAGCCAACGCTATTGGCTAATATTGTATGCCGTTTTGTTCTTATATACAATAATTAGACGCATTGTAAAGTTTTGGAAATATGTTCAATAAAACAAAAGCAGATGTATAAAGAGAAGTAAATTTTATTTATAACAATAATAAATATTATATATAATGAATAATAATTAAATTTCAGTCAACACTATTGGCTAATATTGTATGCCGTTTTGTTCTTATTATTATATACAATAATTAGACGCATTGTAAAGTTTTGGAAATATGTTCAATAAAACAAAAGCAGGTGTATAAAGAGAAGTAAATTTTATTTATAACAATAATAAATATTATATATAATGAATAATAAAAAAAAATTTGGTAACTTATTTTTTTTGACGTTTTGTCAAATGTCCAGTATTATTATTATTATTATTAGAATTATCAAAGATAGATTTTTTACCTTTTCTAGACTCATCAATATACTCACATTGTTCATTATTACTACTTACTTCTTCACCTTCTATAATATTAGCATTGAATTCTTCTACTTTTTGTGCTAATAGTTTTTTCATGTTTGCTGCATATCGTGTAATCCAATTTGCAACTGTTGTCACTTTGGGAATATTCTCAACTTGAATTTCACCTTCATCAGCTAAAATATGAAGTTGGCTTACCATTTCTTTTGCTGTCATTCGATCAACTTTGTTTACATTGCCTGCTAAAAAATATCCCTCAAGATAAGATTT